CCCCGCGTTCGCCAGCCCCCGCTCGGGGGGCCCGCTCCGCCCACCCTCCCGCGCCGGGCCCCGTGTTGCGCAGCCGCGGCGCCGGACCCCGCCCTACAGCCGGTGGCGCCAATCAGCGCTGGGCTAGGGGGAGGGACCAGCGGCCTGGCGCGCCTGCATCTCAGGTCTGCCCGAGCGGAGTTCTTATGCTTCCAGGTCGTCTACAGGCGTCTCAACCACGCGTTACGTCCTAGCTTGGGAGCTGCTGCGGCGCCATACTTCTCCGCCTCCGGGGCCACTTGTGCTGTTGGTACTCGGGAAGATTCTGATGGGGATCCTACCTCTCTCGGGCCGGGGTCTTTAGGACCCGGTCATCCGGTGGCCCAGCCTCGCCTTCCACCTCCCACCTAGTCTCCCAAACTGCAGCTTTTTCTTGGGCGTCCAGATCCGGGGGACTTTTGGACCCATCCATACCCAGTCCCCACCCATCTCTTAACTGATCCCTCAAAATCAAGAATCGGAGCCCCCTCTCCACGTCTCTACTGCCTACACATTGGCCCAGTCACCTCCCACTGGAGGATTCCAGGCCCTTCCTATGGTATCGTTCCCCCTCACAGACCATCTGTTCACCAGCCCGAGGGACCCTGGCACGGAAAGTTTGGCCCACTCCCCACTCAACCTGTTCTACCTGCACTGCTCCCCAGAGCACAGGCTGCTGGACCTAGGGCAGATGTTAAAGAAAAAATGGATTTTCCTTATATCCTCTTGTACCTTCAGTTGGAGAAGGTTCCTGGTCTTAAAACCCCCTGTGATGGCTGGGCGCCCATTGCTCAGTAGTTAAGGCACCGGCCACATGCTCCCGGGGCTGCCGGGTTTGAAACCGGCCTAGGCCTGCTAAACAAACAAACAAAAAAAACAATAGCCCGACGTTGTAGGGGTCGCCTGTAGTTCCAACTACTAGGGAGGCTGAGGCGAGAGAATCGCTTGAGCCCAGGAATTTGAGGTTGTTGTGAGTTGTGATGCCATGGCATTCTACCAGGAGTGACAAAGTTGAGACTGTCTCAAAACCCCCAAAACTTACGGAGCGGCGCCCTCATGCCGGCAGTAGTGGGTTCAAACCCAGCCCAGGCCAAAAACTACCAAAAAAAAAAAAAATTTCCCATTTCAAGGTCTTTAATCCCATTTACAAAGTTCCTTTTGCCATGGTAGGTGACAAATGGATTAGAACGTAGACATCACAGAGTGGTGCTGCCCGGACCACACAAACACTGTATCAGTCTTGGTGGGTAGATGATGGGCAGGACGACTTATTAGCCACAGTCACCCTACCTTGCCTGTACACCCAGCAACCCCCACCCAGGACATCTGCTCTGGGGAGGATGGGTTCTTGCTCTCCCACCCCACCCTGGCCATGAGGCTCCATCTCCTGAGAAGCTTAGTAGCTGGGTGGCAGCCCAAGACCCAGAGGCCATTGCTGGAGGGGCCAGTGCTGGTGTGGAGACAGAGGATTGTTCATGTCATGGATTTAAAGGCTGGAGGTTGCACACTAGAACCATTAATGGCACTTGGTAAGGTGGTCAGCTGGCAGAAGAACCTGCCCCTTTCCAAGGGAAATACCTAGGATGGGCTGAGCTCTGTGGCTCACATCTATAATCCTAGCACTCTGGGAGGCTGAGGCAGGTGGATTGCTGAGCTCATAGGTTTGAGACCAGCCTAAGCAAGATGGAAACACCACCTCTCTAAAAAATAGCCAGGGGGTAGTGCCTGTGGCTCAGTGAGTAGGGTGCCGGCCCCATTTACGGAGAGTGGCAGGTTCAAACCCAGCCCCAGCCAAACTACAACAAAAAAATAGCCAGTGTTGTGGTGGGCGTCTGTGGTCCCAGCTACTTGGGAGGCTGAGGCAAGAGAATCACCTAAGCCCAAGAGCTGGAGGTTGCTGAGAGCTATGATGATGCCACACACTCTACCCAGGGCAACAGAGTGAGACTCTCTCAAAAAATCCCCAGCCAACCAATCATTAAAGTGGCGGATTCATGGCCTAACTTCCTCATTCAGCTGGTGGCAAAGGGCAAAAAGGAGGGAGGGCTATCTCTAGATTGAGTGGACTCCAATTACCTTGACTGGGACAAGCCAGATGTTAAAATGTTTGCAGGCTGGGCGTAGTGGATCATGCCTATAATCCCAGCAACTAGGGAGGCTGAGGCAGCAGGATGCCCACAGTCTTAGTCTGAGGTTGCGGTGAGCTATGATACCAACTGCCCTCTGCTGAGGACATAGGGTGAGGCTCTGTCTCAACAAAAAATAAAAATAGGAAAAAAACCTAGCAGGCATGGTAGCTTATGCCTGTAGTCCCAGCTAGTTGGGAGGCTGAAGCAAGAGCATCCCTTGAGCTCAGGAGTTTGAGGTTGTTGTGAGGTACCATGATGCCACAGCACTACCCAGGGGGACAGAGTGAGACTTGGTTTCAAAAAAAAAAAAAAAGTGAGCCAGGCATGGAGGGAGGCCGAAGTGGGTGGACTGCCTAAGCACACAGGTTCGAGAACAGCCTGAGCCAGAGTAAAACCTCCTCTCTAAAATAGCAGGGCATTATGGCAGGTGTCTGTAGTCCCAGCTACTTGGGAGGCTGAGACAAGAGAATCACTTAAGCCCAGGAGTTTGAGGTTGCTGTGAGCTGTGACACCTAAGCACTCTACTGAGGGCGACATAGTGAGATTCTGTCTCAACAACAAAAAAATGTTTTCAGCTATCTGGGTACATTTGAATACTGAGTGGTTATCAAAAGGCATTCATTTGTTGTGGCGATAATAGCATTGGGGTTATGTAAGGAAGCCCTGTTGTTGAGATGTTATCTAGAACACAGGAATGAATCAATGTGATGTCAATTAGCTTCCAAATGCTGGAGCACTAATTAGGGCCAGGACAGGGTGAGGGAGTACTGAAAACCTCAATAGCTAGCTAAATGGTATGTTAGTGTAATATTTATTTATTTTTTTATTTTTGAGACAGAGCCTCAAGCTGTCCCCCTGGGCAGAGTGCGGTGGCATCACAGCTCACAGCAACCTCCAACTCCTGGGCTTAAGCGAGTCTCCTGCCTCCGCCTCCCAAGTACCTGGGACCACAGGCGCCCGCCACAACGCCCGGCCATTTTTTGGTTGCAGCCGTCATTGTTGCTTTGGCGGATCCGGGCTGGGGATTCGAACCCGCCACCTTAGGTGTACGTGGCTGGTGCCTTAGCAGGTTGAGCTATAGGCGCCGAGCCACTATTTATTTATTTTTTTAAAGAGAAACTCATACTATGTCACCCTGGGTAGAGTGCTATGGTGTCACAGCTCACAGCAACCTCCAACTCCTGGCTTAGGTGATTCTCTTGTCTCAGCCTCCCGAGTAGCTGGGACTACAGGCACCCACCAGAATGCCCGGGTATTTTTTTGTTGCAGTTTGGCCGGGGCTGCATTCAAACCTGCCACCCTAAGTATATGGGCCCGGCGTCCTACCCACCGAGCCACAGGCGTCACCCCAATATTTAATTTTTTACTTTTTTTTTTTATTTAATCATAGCTGTGTACATTAATGCAGTCATGGGGTACAGTGTGCTGGTTCTATATACAACCTGAAATATTTACATCAAACTGGTTAACACAGCCTTCGTGTCATTTTCTTCATTATTGTGTTAAGACATTTATATTCCACATTTAGAAAGATTCACATGTACCTTTGTAAGATGAACAATAGGCGTGGTCCCACCAATCACCCTCCCATAATTTTTTATTTTTATTTTATTTTTTAGTATCAGAGTCTTTGGGCCAGGTACGGTGGCTCATGCCTGTAATCCTAGCACTCTGGGAGGCTGAGGCAGGTGGACTGCCTGAGGTCAAGAGTTCGAGACCAGCCTGAGCAAAAGCCAGACCCCCATCACCACTAAAAATAGAAAAACTGAGGCAAGAGGATCACTTGAGCCCAAGACTTTGAGGTGGTTGTGAACTGCCACGCCACTCAACCCAGGGCGACAGTCTGAGATTCTGTGTCCAAAAAAACAAAAATCAGAGTCTTGCTACTTTGCCCAGGCTGATCTTGAACTCCTGAGCTCAAGTGATCCTTCCACCTTATCCTCTTGAGTAGGTGGAATTCAGGCTTGCTTGCAGCACTGTGGCTGGTTTAGTGTAATTTTTTTGTTCTTTTTGAGATAGAGTCTCACTTTGTCACCCTTGGTAGAGTGCCGTGGTGCCATAGCTTACAGTAACCTCAAACTCCTAGGCTTAAGCAGTTCTCTTGCCTCAGCCTCACAAGTAGCTGGGACTACAGGCACCCACCCAATGCCCTACTTTATTTATTTATTTATTTATTTATTTTAGAGATGGAGTGCCATTTTGTCTCCCTTGGTAGAGTGCCATGGCATCACAGCTCACAGCAACCTCTAGCTCTTGGGCTTAGGCAATTCTCTTCCTTCAGCCTCCGGAGTAGCTGGGACTATAGACACCCACCACAATGCCTGGCTATTTTTTATTGCAGTTTGGCTGGGGCCGGGTTAAAACCCATCACCCTCAGTATATGGGGCAGCACCCTACTCACTGATTCACAGGCGCTACCCTATTTATTTATTTATTTTTTTTT